AGGGAGAAGCTGACACTGCGATAATCCTGGACTCGAAGCTGCATTACTGTGCAAGGACACCCATGCGTGGTCGATAAGCAGTCTGAAGGTAAGCGTTATTATAAGCTTTAGTAGTAGTAGTATAAGCATTATTATTATTATTATATATATATACATATATTATATATACGTACATATATATATATATATACACATATATATATGTGTGTGTGTGTGCATAGATATAAATATATAGATATATAGAGATACGTAGATAGATAGATATCCATCTATCAGTCTGTAGAACTGTTAATTTTATATACATATGAACATGAATACTCTATCTTGATATATAGCGAAATACCCTATGTTGAGATATATATATGTTTATATATACATATGCTTCAAATGTATTTGTATCACCATACTGCATATTCATAGGTATATATGTGTGTGTGTATTTATAGATACCTATTCATCTGTTAATCTCATCTCTCATACATCTCTCTCTCATTTTCTCTCTCTTTTACTCCTCCTCTCTTATTCTCTCGCTCTCTCTCTCACTCTCACTTACATTGTGTGGTGCAGCGGTAGCGATCTCGTTTAGCAATCTTTCTGATCTGATCCCTCGCCACCAGTGGATGGTAACCCCAGCCATTCCTTGTACACTGGGGATAATTTAGAAGCAAAATAAAACAGACAGTATGTCACACCAAGAATATCCATTGTAACAAAAGCAATCAAACTAGATTATTAATTATTATTATTAATTATTATCACTCATCCCTCTATTATTCTCTCTTTCTCTATTTTATTTATATACAATACACTTTACAATACAATACGCTTTACAATACAATGCACTATACAATACAATACACTTTACAATACAATGCACTTTACAATACAATACACTTTACAACAATACACTGTACTACAGCACTTTCACAATACAAAAGAAAAACCATACTATTAAAAAAAGGAGAAATCAGAGAGGTTTACTTATAAGCAATAGTACTTACATCCTGCAGTAGTGAATAAAGAAAAGAAAAAAAGAAAATTCAAAATTATTATAGCCTGTATTTAAAACAAAAGCTCATAGAATTTATATAGGAAAGAAGAATTCTGTGAAAAAATATTATACCCTCCTTCTGTATAGTTGATTAAAAACATGATATGCATTCACACACACACATATATTTATGTATCTGTATATATATATATATATGCATGTAATTCATGTATATATATATATATATATGTGTGTGTAGATGGATTCCAGTTGACGTCACATTTTTCCCTACTGCGGCGGCGTTGTTGGCCTAACAGGAAACTGTCGGAAAACAATAATTATTTTGATCAACTGATCCTCGCTGAAAGTACATCTTCATTTTTATTTTTCATTTCGTATTCTATGCAATGTTTTCCAGTTCAAAGTCTTACGCAGCATTGTCAGAAGATCAGAAATGGTATAAATCTAAGCTTACACTCATACACAGATGGACATACGCTCCCTGATCCGTACATGTTCTAAGACGAATGGAAGAACGATGTTATTTTGATGCCTTTGTTGATTACAATTATTTGACAAATACTCTAAGATCTTTCTCGAATAAATCTCTTAATGCATACAAGTCTCTGGAAGCCTACAATTTTTTCATTTGTGGGCATGTTCAAGACATATTTTACCATGGAATCGACAAAAGCAGTAATTTCTGTTTCATTAAGTCTGAGGCACAGTCAATATTTTTTTGTTTTAGTTTATCGAAACTTTACCAACAGCAATTCAATTATTCAGAACAGAAAATTACAACATTTTAAAACTGGAAGTAACTTAATTCTGAAATTTTAATTCACTCTTGCATAGGTGAATGCCTTTTACTTACCTGATATAAATTGAGCACTGCAAATGTGTGCGTTGTCAATTTTCTTTGAGCTCCAGTTCTCACGTCTGATGGCAGCTATCCATTTTTTTCGTAACGCAAGGGACTGTTCATTGTTTCCAAATGGAATCCGATAAAAACTGAAATTGCCACCAGATTTTCTTCGATTCGTACAACCAACGGCACAGAACGAGTCGAGCATGAGCATGTTTGTGGTCTGTCAGAGAGAGTCTTGCCGGCCAGCAATTGCGCATGCGCTAATTTCAGCGCTCAAATGTAAACATGGAATTTATCTATATATATATATACATGAATATATATATACGTGAATACATGTATATATATATACATGAATATATATTTATATATACATATACATATTTATCTATATAAACATATGTACACATACACATTGTGTATCTGTGTATATATATATTATCAGTATTATCAATTTTGTCAATCTTATCTATTATTATTATTATTATTATTGATATTGTTTTGCTGTTATTATTTTTATTATTATTATTATTATTATGGTAAGCCATATAAAGAGCAACACTGAAAAGTTTGAGAATTCTACCCCCAAAGGCATCAGTGCAGGTCAAAACACACTGCCAGGAAAGAAAGAAAGGACAGAACACCAGAAAGACCAAACACAGAAGACCAAAAAGAAGACAGAAGAAGAGACAAGGAAAAAAAAGAAGAGACAAAAGACAAAAAGAAGAAACAGAAGACCGTCGCCTATTCACGTAGTAGAAACATTTTACAGCCTCTGAAGGCTATTTATTCCAAAGCCTACAAATGACAGTAAAAAAAAAAAACATCTAGAGAACTGAGAAGTCGACGATCGACTTGCATTGGATTGAAGGGCGTAGAAATTCTTTTAGGTTACGCGGGTTGATAGAATTGATCTTGCACAAGACCGAGAGAGCCCCAATACCCCTATGGTGCCCAGTGTCCAAATTTAAGTCAAATAGGAGGAGAAATGTAATGGGATTTAAGGAACGATTAAGCAATAGTATGACTGTAACGAGCACAAGGGATGTGAATTTAGAATGACCCAAAATTCGTCTAGAAACCCCCCTGTATACACCTCACTTAGTCTTTATGCATATATATTATTTAAGTATACCTCAGTTTTTTAGCTTTAATTATTTGAGAAAAAGGTACTTTATTATTTTCCTAGAAAGATGATATTTTATTTTAATAGTTTTACAGGAAATTCTATATATTTCAATATTATATTTTTCTAAGATAAGAAAATTGTAAAATATGATAGTCTACCCTACAAAGTATAAGCTTTTTTGTTACCCCCACCATACATTCTCTTTATTTAAAGGGTACGCTATTATATTTCAATAGTATTATTATATTAAGGTTGTATAAATGATATTTTTGTAAAGAAAACCATATATATTATTTTTGTTAATGGAAGGATTCATTTAAGTTCTGAAAATTATGCATGTATAGATTAAGAAGGACTGTATAAGTGTAATATATGTGATCTGAGTAGACTTTAAAATTCAAAGTATATACAGTGCTAAATCCTGAAAACATAGCTATAATCATAGAGAGAGATCGAGATCAGAGAGGAGTGCCATACAGCAGCCTGAAAGAGTATTTGATTATCGTGAAATATCTGAGGTAAGAAAGAACATTCCACTATAATAATATAATTAATAAAGTCATGAACTACTGTACAATTGATTTACAGAAGAAAAGAAAGTAACTATTTGAGATTAAACTGTAAATTAGAGATAAAGAGTATATCTTCTTCACAGCTCGAGGCTGGCACATGGCACATGGCTCTTGAATAACATCCGATGTGTCTCTCTTGTTTATAAGAATTTAAAACCCATTCAAAGAGTGTTCTTGGCATTCATAATTGTATAATATTATAATGATATTTAATCAAATATTACGATAATATATTACTCAGATCGTATATGATAACATAAATATTATATATAATTTGTTTGTTTGTAAGAAATATTGTTTTTCATCTTACAAGAACTGATTTACTTACATTTAATAACTTTATATTGTTTATCATTCCTAAACTAGAATTTTGTTTCTTTTCTAGGAGTGGGTTTTTTTTTTTTTTTTTGCTTTGTTTTGTTTTGTTTTGTTTTATTTTTTTATGGTTTGTTTGGTTCTTCTGAAGTTGTGATTTATGCGTCCCTGGGGCTGTGAACAAGTAAGAAAGAGCCCAGGACATTGATGAAGACAAGGAAAGAAGACACCTGAGAAGAACCAGAAGAATAAAAGTGACAGGTTGGAATACAACCATTTGGGACATTTATTTTTGTAGATGAAAGTTTATTTTACTGTAGATGTGTAATGATATTTAACTCAATATATCAACAACAAGTGTAAACTTATTAAGTGGTTTGATATTATCCCCTTCTCTCAGTTACCTCTAAGGCTGAAATTAGATCATAAGTAACCTGTATGAATATATATATTTTAGTGTGGGTTCTAAAGAGTACTTTTGGAGAAACCACACACTTGTAATAACAGATAGTGCCCCTCTGGATAAAGTCTGAGTGGTTCCCAGAGCAAAGAGTAGTAATAAGGTCTTTGCTAAGGAGCATAGAAAAGGGAGGGCGCAATATATGACTCTTGTATATAATATGTATATATATAGTATATATATGGATATATATGTGTATATATATTATATACACATGCATATATATATACAAATTTGTATACATACACATATACATATATGCATACACATATATCCATATATACATATATACATACACATAAAAATAATTAGTTTATATATTTGTATATATTCATATATATATATACACACACACACACGTTTATATATTTATATATATGCACATATATATATATATGCAGGTATGAATTTTTGTGTGTGTGTAAATAAATAAATATGTATATATATATATGTGTGTGTGCGTGTGTGTGTGTGTGTCTGTGTGTGAATATATATGCACATATGCATACATATATATGTTTATACACAAATGTGTATATATATGTATTTATACAAATTTATATATATATGTATGTATTTATACATATATTATATTTATATATGTATATATATACCGACACGCACACACACACACACACACACACACACACACACACATATGCATGCACGCAATCACTCACAAACACATATACATGCATACATATATGGATACATAACATACATATATAATATATATATGTATATATGTACATATGTATTTATACATACTTATATAAATGTTTTTATGGTTGTTTGCATCTGTCACAGAGTTGTCACTGAAAGGAGTGTGGACACTTGCATTCTTGCTGCAGGAAGTTAATAAGTAAATAAGGAAATCTTTAAATAAGTAAGGAGGAACTAATTAAGTGAACAAGGAAATAAGTAAATAAGTAGATAAAGAAATAAGTAAATAAGGAAACAAGGAAATGAGTAAACATGTAAATAAGTATATAAGAGTAGATAAGTAAATAAGTAAATAAATAAAAAGATAAGGAGGAACTTGCTGCTGGAAGTAAATAAGTAAATAAATGAGTAGATAAGTAAATAAGGAGATAAGGAGGATAATCCACCGGTTCTCGCCACACTAGACTTTCTGTTGTTGTGTCTGTCCCTTTAAGCAACACTGGTATGTTATGTTTATGTTACATTATGTTAAGTGGTATGTTATATTACGTTATGCATTATGTTATGTTATGTAGCGGTTAGTAAGTCAGTAATAGCATATGTATAAATAATAGTATAAGTCTTACTATTAATAATAATAATATAAGCATGGGATTTATAACCATAGGAAGACAGAGAGTTAAGGAACTGTCTTTCTGTCTCGCTTCTATCTGTATGTCTCGCTTCTAACTGTATGTCTCCCTTCTGTCTGCCTCGCGATATTAAAAATTCAAATTATATGTAGTCTGATAAACTTTCTTTATTTTCACTTGTATATTAATATTATAGAAAAAAAAACATATGTGTATACTTACTCACTGTAGATCCTGATTTATTTGATTGATAGTGATGAAATCAGTGTTATTTTCAAGTATTTTAAATCTTTTTTAAATCTACTTATTTTATTTCATTCTAGCATTTAAAATCTACTTACTTATTTACTTACCTTGTTTATTTATTAACTTAAATCATTAAATTTTGGACACGTATGGAGATGAATTCACTTTTGGCCTCTGGTCTTATTTGTATTTGAATTGATTACCTTATGCCAGTACCCCTTTCCCTTTACAAAATCTGTTCCATACTCCATTTTCTCCATTTCCTCTATACCCTTTCCACCACCATTCTCTTTTACAGTGTTTTACAACCATTGACGTCTAACACATTTTATCCTAATCTACTCTACAGTATGACCGTATGAACCTTTAATGCCTAGCACATGTTTGTTCTAACCATTAACCGTTTCCTCCTGCAGTGTAGCTCTCCCTTCCTCAAACTCATGCTCTCCAATTGATCTGATCTGAATTATTAACCCCTCCCTCTTTCTTACAAATCCCCGTCATACTCCATTCCCCTCCTCTTACTCTTTTCACTGCCATTCTGTCCTACAACACTCTAACATCTAACAAATTTTATCCCAAACGTTAACATATTTCAACCCTTTCTCACTACAATTCCCATCTATTTTTTTTTTATCCTAGACGTTAACACATTTCAACCTTTTTTCACTAGAGTACTTCACCATTGTGTTATGAGACGTTTAATGTCTAGCACGTTTAAGTCTTCTAACCCTGCCCATTTACCATTCCTCTCCGTATCTTATTATAGTCATCACTTCTATAAGTCACTTATTATAACCATCAGCGTTCTTACAAAAAAAATAGAACTTAGTTTTGTGATAAAATTATATTTTAATTTATTGTTACTGGCATTCATATTGATACTGTAATAATAGGATTTTGATGACAATTGGTACTGGTATTTCTTATTTCTTATTATTATCATTTCTGTGTTTGTACTACATCATCATATGTGTGATCGGTTTTCCTTAAATTGGGTGTAATTCTTATTGTCATTAACAGTAATGAAAATTCTCTCAAAATTCCCATCATAAATGTTTATCACTTCTGTATTTATATAACAGTACATTATGAAATGATATTTTTTTATTACTTTTAGTACCTCATGTCTAGTTACCACCACCACTCCTGTTTTGTTTTTTGTTTTTTTATTGTAACTTTCTTCATTTTGGTAATAATTGATACCAAATAGTTTGTAATAGCTTCTGCATTCTTAATATCAACATTATGTAGTTCGTTATTAGGTGTGCTTTCCATTCACAGGATGAGTTTCCTTGCTGATGGAATGCCTTTGGCCTCAGTTGTGAATGAGGGAATATTAGGCACAGGAATCAGTATCAAAGAAGAGCTCAGCGAAGATATTTCCAAGGATATTTGTTTAGAAATTAAAGAACAGCTCGATTACGCAGATCATGAGAGAGATGAAGTGAGCGACATGAAAGTGAAACACGAGTGTCTTTTCTTTCATAATCTTTATGACCAAAGGCATGAAGCAGATGCAAAGGACTCGTGTGACTTGGTTCAGGATCATAGTGACGTGTTAAGAGTGCCATTAGTGGCTGAGGATTGTTGGAACAACTGTTCACCAGAAGGGGATCAGGCGATACATAAGGAAAGTCTTAGGGATACAGAACCAGACGTGGAACCGACGCAGAAGCGTCTTGTATGCGAGGCGTGCGGCAAGAAATTCTCTAAAAGGAGATATCTCAATATTCACATGAGAGTCCACACAAAGGAGAAGCCCTACAGATGTGATATTTGCGACAAGGGCTTCCCATCCAAAAACAATCTAGTAAAGCATATCAGAGTACATACTAAGGAAAAGCCATACAGCTGTGAAATCTGCAACAAGGCCTTCTCGGAGAAAGGTCCTCTAGTAACGCACATGAGAATACACACAAAGGAGAAGCCGTTCAACTGTGAGATTTGCAACAAGGCCTTCTCACATAAAAATAGTCTTGTTAGGCACACGAGAGTACATACAAAGGAGAAACTATACACCTGTGAGATTTGCAACAAGAACTTCTCACATAGAGATAGTCTAATTAGGCATATGAGTGTGCACGCAAAGGAGAAGCCAGCAGCAGGCGCTCCTGCCGCCATGGTGTAAGCATATCGCGTAACCTCTTTACCAGCACGGCGGCTGTTGTAGGCGGTCCCTGTCTCAGGAATTGTGTATGCTCACAATTTTCTAAGTAATGTACGAGTGTGGCGTTCGGCTCGCCGCAGTGCATGCAATACCTCTCAATAATTGTCTCTATGATCTGCCATGCACAGTGGAAACGTAGGCGCATTCTGTGAGAATGTATTTCAGAGAGTATTTCATTTCTCTTATGAACACATGAAATAACTTAATGAGGTTACACAGTCTCATCTACTTCGTATGGTCACATGGAATTCAGTGCGATTTTAACCGGAATTAGCAAAAATCTACCAGGGATAAATGCTCACGAATGCCCATGTTCGACGATAGTACTGAACTACGGCGCTACTCCCCCACCAACAGTTGCCCCCACCCCCTCTTCGCTGCTCGGTAACTGGTCTGTTGGAAGTGCGCGCACCTTTTCTATAGAATGACATTTGATATACTGACGGAGGAACCTCATGAATAGTTCTCGGATCATCCAAAAATGAAACATATAAGCGGCAGTTATCATTCTCACTGTCAAATCATTATAAAACAAATCGTTATATAACATAGAATGACAATCTTTCTCTGTCGAGATAGTGGCAGGGTATAAAAAGAAGCATGGCTAAAACTTTCCATAAACAATTTTCAAACCACTCAAAGTGAGCATGCATGACCTACGGTGTAAACTAAACTGATTTCCTACAGCAACATGGTGATGGTACAATATCAATCAATCACCGGATGTTTATAAGCGATCCCTTTATCTACTGCCCCCCCCCCCTTTCCCTTTCAGAATAGTTCTGGATCCGCCCCTGGTTGGTGCCCTTCTTTACAAGGCCTATAGTGTATCACCCTTATGCCCCCGAGACCAGATGTCTATAGTGCCTTGTAAAACACCAAAGGCTTATCCCCTCCATAGAATAAACACCACACTGTAGCTTCAATAGAAAGTGGAGTTTCACCCAAACTACCATTCCATCTACCATGCAACCATTGGAAAACCCGAATCCATGGTATATAGTGGTCTTACCAGGTCAGGATTGCCATTCCAATGCTACTACCACAAGTCTGGCTGTTGACTATTAAAATGATTTTGATAATGATAATGATTTTAATAAAATGAGGATTTCAATAACAATGGTGAGTTTAATAATGATAACAATCTTAATAATAGTATTTACTTTAATCATAATGCTTTTAATTATAGTGATTTTGATAATGATAATGTTTTGTTGATGATTTTGATAATAAGAACAATTAATTTGATAATAATGATTTTAATAATAGTGATTTTAACAATAATGTTTTGTTGATAATTTTCATAATAAGAATAATTACTTTAATAATAATGATTTTAGTAATAGTGATTCTAATAGTAATAATGCTGTTAATGATTTTGATAATAATAATGATTTTAATAAAATGAGGATTTCAATAACAAAGGTGAGTTTTGAATGATAATGATGGTTTATGAAAAAATAATACAAATAACAATAATAATAATCATAATGATAGTAACATAACAAAATTATTATTTGAATAGTGATAATATTAATAATAATGGTTTTAATAATAATGATGTTGATAGAGATAAGGGTTTTAATAATAATAATTTTGATGATAATAATGGTTTTGATAATAATAATAATGGTTTTAAGAATGAATGATAGTGGTTTTAATAATAAGGAGAATTTTAATAATAATAATTTTAACTATGATGAATTCAATACTATTAATGAATTTAATAATAATAGTGATTTTAACAATAATATTTAAGCGAAATTAAGATCTAAACATAACGATTAATGTCCAATAATGCCCATTACTAGAGTTATGACAAATTAAATCTTTTTAAGTCACAGGGGAAAACTAGCTGGTTTGATTTACGTAGACTTCCACGCATATTTTTGGGGGCTGGTAGAACCTTCAATACATCTTGCTTATGGAATGATGCCTCATCACTCTGGTCAATAATAAAAGCCGGTTTCTCTTCTTCAAGCCTATGTCCTGAAGTTTTCTTCATGAAAACTCCCTCTAGCTCATTGCCATCCACAATATCAACTCTTGCGACATATCGTTCTCCATTTGAAGAGGGAATATGCGCTTGGATGCCGATAGTCTTTTGTATCCAGTTTGGATTTCATTATCTGCTTTGCCTCTAGATTTCATGATAAAACGACGCAGTGTGGCTCTGTCAATATCAAATTGCGTGATACTTCTCTCAAACTAGCACCAGCAATGAATGCATCAGCAGCTCGTTTCATAACATCAAGGGGAACAGCAGCCCGTTGTGTCTTTCTAACATAATTTCGTGGCATCTGAAATCAAATACCACATTAAATACAACTAGAAATTTGCAAAATAATATTAAAAAGCCTGTTGGGGTAAGATGAACCATCTGTTCATCTTACCCCAATTTTAAAGGTTCATCTTACCCCACGACAACCATTTCGAATAAATTAGTTGCCAACACGGTGCTTCGAGTCGAATCGAAATGAAACATGGGCAGAAGAATAGTCAAAAAGTGAACAAGCCTTTAATAGTATAAGATGAAAATAGCACAAATACTTACCACAGTAGTAACTGTTAATTACAATTAACAATATTTCACTTTTTGGTCCAAGATAGAGTCTTTATCACATAAAAACTGATACACTGCAAATAAGAACGTGTAGCTCCGTCAGAGGCCTGTGATGATAGAAGGCCTCGGGAGGATGGCACCACAGGTTTACGAGATTTGTAATGACGTCAGCACAAGAGGTGGTTCATCAATTTATTAATAATTTGCTGATTTTGATAATAATGATGACTTTTAATAATGATGATTTTAATAACAATAGTGAATTTAATAATAGTACTGATTTTCATAATGATCGTAATAAAAAAGGATTTCAATAACATTGAGGATTTTAATAATAATTTTAATATTAACGATTTAAAAAATATGATTTGAATAGTAATGATGGTTTTAATAATGAAAATTTCTAATAATGATGATGATTTTAATCATTATGATGATTTAATGATATTAATGAATTTAATAACATGGATTTTAGTAAAAATCATTATTTTAGTAAAAATTATGATTTTAGTAAAAACATAGATTTTAGTAAAAATCATTATTTCAGTAAAAATCATGATTTTAGTAAATTCATGATTTTAGTAAAAATCGTGATTTTAGTAAAAATCGTGATTATAGTAAAAGTCATGATTTTATTAAAATCATGATTTTAGTAAAGGTCATGATTTTAGTAAAAGTCACGATTTTAGTAAAAATCATGATTTTAGTAATAATAGTGATAATTATAATGATAAAACTAATTAATTAAATATTACTGATATTATAAGTAATAAGATCAACTTGTTTTCATAAAGTTTGTAGAATGATTTGGAACATCAAGAGTTATCTTTTTCTTTTTTTGCGTAACTTTACCAAATACTTATAATAGTTCATACGCATGAAGAATTTCTATATGATCTAAATTCCCATATTGTCTATCATGTAACAAGACAGGACATAGTCATTTATATTCAAGTCATTTATAAGACAGGACATAGTCATTTATACATTTATATATATGTACATATTTATACATATATATATAGTATCTATAATCATATGTATAATTACATATTTATATATATATATATAGAACCATATGTATACATATATATTTATACATATATTTATATACATACAAATACATACAGACATACACGAATATATATAGAGCTATATATGTATATATAAATTATATATATCTACTTATATATATATATATATATATATATAAACATTATAGGTCTATAAATATAAACACTTTAGGTCTATAAATATGAACACTAGTATAGGGCTATAAATATATTAAACACTATAGGTTTATAAATCTATTAGACATAATAGGTCTATGAATATAAACCCTACAAGTCTATAAATATAAACACTAAAGGTCTATAAATATAAACACTATAGGTTTATAAATATATTAAACACTGGTACAGGTCTACAAATGTATTTTCAAAAGGAAATACACCATGCCCTCTGGCAAAGACCAAAGAGCAACATAGAAATGTTAACACACAGATCGGTGAAATTATTCCTTGCACTTAACAAAAAGAAAATGTGCCTAAATGACACGCATGTTAATAATGAAGGGGACTTCCCTCTAATAAATCGGGAAAATTAAATCAATATATGGTTTATTAATGTAATATTTTGATGTAAATCATTAAGAATGTTGATTGAAAAATGTGGTCATCAGAAAAAGATCGGAAACATTTAAGACCCACAAATGCTTAAGTATAACGTATCAATGTATACCAATCATTGTATTAATCATCAAATAATCATATTGGAAACTTTGTATATGATCCACATTAGAGTAGCAGCTGAACCATAATCCAAAATGCCGCAAGACCGTGCGTCTCACCTCCAAGTTCCAGTTCGAGACCACTGGCTCAGCATTATTTAC